AGGATGCGCCACGGTGGACGATCCCCTTCTATTTCTTTTAATGGGCATCTTTTTAGTTCCCAATCAATTTGACGGCGCCGGCTGATTCCCCGACACCAGTCAAACCTCATGGGCCCGTGTAAGTACGGTTCGAACCCTCTTCCAGGTCCAGCCCTCTTGCAGGCATACCCTCTTCCGGGCCCCTCTTCCGGGTTTTGATATTTTTTCTATTATACTGAGCAAGACCGGTGTAGTAACCAGCGTGCCAGGTCCGGGCCTGTGTCTCAGTTGGCTTAGCCAAGTGGATTCGATCCACCCAGGAAGCCCTCCTAGGATAGGTTGAACATCATCGGTTTGATTGATAATAAAGTAGGCCTTGCCTAGTATTACAATCATTTGTAGAACTTGCGAAGATGATGGGAATTCCAGGTTCTTTCTACCGGTACCCCTTCAAGAGTTTCTAACCGGTATGTCCCCGGGCGAATGATGGCTCTAACCCTATATGGGCCTTCCCAGTTTTTCGCTAGCTTTCCTCCGTCGCCGGGTCTACTTGTTTCTCTTCTCCGTAGGACTTCATCCCCAACTTGGAAGTATCGCGGCCCAACCTTGTTGTCATGGTACTTCTTCACAACTTGTTGGTATGTGCTCATTTTGACTTCCGCGGCCATTCTCCGTTCTTCGACCAAGTTGAGTTCGGCCAAGTGGTCTTCCTCATTCTGCTGGGGTTGATAGTTTGATTCCCGGAACGTTGGGAATTCAGCTTCGATGGGCAGCCTTGCCTCACATCCATAGGTTAGGGAAAATGGAGTTTCCCCGTGAGCCCTCCTGGGTGTTACTCGGAATGCCCATACGATGTGTGGGAGCTCTTCCAGCCACTTGTTTCCTGCTTCTCCCAGCCGTTTCTTTAGACCATCCACAATCGTTCGGTTGGCGTTTTCGACTTGGCCATTCCCTTGGGGGTATGCTACCGAGGAGCGATTGTGCTTGATCCCAAAGCCCTCCAAGTATTCAGTGAACCTTGGATTTCGGAATTGTGGGCCGTTGTCGGTGATGAGGTTCATGGGCGCTCCAAATCTCGTGATGACGTTTTTCCAAATGAATTTCTTGCATTGTTGCGTGGTAATGTTGGCCAATGCTTCGGCCTCGATCCATTTGGTGAAGTAATCGATGGCTACGATCACGAACTTCTTCCCTCCTTGGGCGACTGGGAATGCTCCAATGATATCAACCCCGAACCTAGCGAATGGGATGACATTTGATACGGGGTGATAGTAGGTTGCTGGTCTACCGGGGTACTTGTAGAACACTTGACATGTTCTACATTTCTGTACATACCTCTCACAGTCCTGGACAATTGTTGGCCAGTAATACCCCAACAAGATAATGCGCTGGGAAAGCGTACGGGACATTTGATGCGCCACGCATACGCCTCCGTGGACTTCCGCTATGACTCGCTCAGCCTCTCGGTTGGTTAGACATCTCAGGAGTGGCCCCCCAAATGCCCTTTTATACAGCTTTCCATCAAGAATCTGGAATCGGGGTGCCCTGAGCTTCACTTTTCTTGCCCGGTCATCTTGTTCTGGCAAGCTCCCATCCGTCAAATATTCCATCAGATCATACATCCAATGGTCGTCCGCCCGGACCAATTTTGACCGGTCAAACTGGCTCCCGGTCGCTATAGCGGCGACTTCCAATTTCTCGATGCTTGCACGGTCAAGGATCTCCATCCGGGCAAGTTTCGAAACATGCTCGGGAGCATACTGCGTCAATTTGGAGAGAAGGTCTGCATCCGCGTTCTCCGCCCGGGGAATTTGGGCGATCTTGAATTCTTCGAAGCCTTTCAACAGGGCAAGTACAAGGTCCTTGTATTGTGCCATGCGTCCTTCCCTTGTTTCCATGTTACCGGTCACCTGCCCTACTATCAGGCTAGAGTCAGATTTGACACTGACCCGGCTGATTTTCAAGGCTTGGGCAAGTCTGAGCCCTCCAACCAGAGCTTCATATTCTGCCTCATTGTTCGTCAGCTTGAAATTGAAGACGATTGCATGATAGATGTTGAACCCTTCTGGGGTGGTGAACACGATACCACCCCCGTATCCTCTAGGACCGGACGCCCCATCAACTGCCATCTCCCACCATTGCTCAGTGGGCTTGTTGACCGGTAAATCTGGAGTTAGACCGGTCATTTCCACGAGGAAGTCAGCAAGGGCCTTCCCTTAATTGCCGACCTCGGCCGGTACTCAATGTGGAATTGAGTTAACATCATCGCCCACTTTACCATCCTCCCGTAAGATGTTGAATTTCGCAACACTGCACCCAGCGGTTGGTCAGTCAAGACTTCTACCGGGTGCGCTTGGAAGTAGGACGTTAACTTTTTTGCAGAGATGAAAAGCACATAGGCTGTCTTTTCCATCGCCGTATATCTACTCTCAGCCCCGTTTAGTGCCTTGCTCACATAATAAATGGGCTTCTGTGCTCCATCATCTCTTATTAAAACGGAGCTTACAGCGTTTGGGGAAATTCCCAGGTACAGATACAGAGTTTCGCCCAGTTTGGGTTTAGACAATACAATATCCGACGCTAGGTACTCTTTCATGCATAGATGAGGCATGGAAATCACCGCCCCGACCTTATTGATGCCTGGCCTTCCTAGGATTGCATTGTGGACGCACTTGATGTCCACAACTATGAACCGCATCTTCTTCCACACGGTCTTTTCACCTGATCCTAGTTCGACCGGTAGAACTATGGATCCTTCAGCTTCAACGGTGTCCCCCGTGAAGCCTGAGAGAGGGGTTTTGAGGGGTTCAAGTTGTGTTCGACACAACCTGAGTTTCTGGAAGGTCTCCAGGTATAAGATGTTGACACTGCTACCGGTGTCAACAAGTACCCGGGCGACATCCACCCCATTAATGTCCATGGTGATGACCAATGGATCATTGTGATCTTCACCGGTAGGAGGGAGATCCCGGTCAGTAAAGACGAT